CCTTGCAAAAAAATAAAAATTCAAAGCAGTCACATTGAGGGCTCAATTTTCATGACCGGAGTAAATCCCGCATTGTGCGCGGCATTAACCGTGGATTAGACCTGATGTTGGTAATTTCATAGACGAGTAAAGGCTGGCGGTTCTGGGAGAGGGAGGTCTGCTGCTGTGAGTTTTGCACGGAGGAAGCACATCAATACTAAGATTATTAAACCTCCGACTGTTTGTTCGTGTGCCCCCACCTAGCTGTGTCGCACAGTGGAATGACTGAAAAAAATACAACACAATGATTGACAAACTTCGAAGCGCATTTTTCCCAGAGCGTAATTCCGAATTAAATTTGTCCCATTAGACCCCCTGTCTGTCCTGGCTGGCATTTCCAGCACACTCCTTCTGCTGGGCCGGCGTTCCCAGCTCGGTGGCCAAAATGGCAAACACGCAATAAGCCTTGAGCTGATAACAAAAATCAGGATGCGCCGGCATTTGGGCCTTTGTGCATTTGTGACGTCTACAAAATAAGGCCCTTGTTTTCCTGTAACTGTCATGTTCTGTTTTGTTTAAGGACTATCAAGACGACAACTTAAGTGTCTGATTACTGGCCGAGCTCACGACTTCGTTCCAAAGTGCAATTCTCTCGACGCTCCAAGGTTACGCCTCGTAGTTCTCTTGTCACGTTTGGTTTTTTTTTTTTCACACTCCGCAACACTCTGGACTCTGCATCCTTGCCTGTTCAGAGCAGTCCCTTGTCATCATGGTCACAAAATCTAAACTCACCTTTGGCCAAGTATTGGATGGGGAGGGCTGTCCAGTCGCTTACTTTCATGAGATAAGGTCGCCCTCTGCAACGGGCTAATTTCAGCAAGGCGAGAGGTACAATGCTTGACTGTTGGGCTACTTTGAGAAAAGCATGTCACACACGTTATAAACAGAAGTGGGGACTGTTTCAATTGTGGGGAAAAAAAATGGATAAAATATCTCCTTAATTGAGACCCGTTAGAGTTTCGAGCAGACTGATAGCAATATGGAGGTGTATGGCGAGACCACCATAAGAGGTTGAACATGCTGTTCCAGATCATCCCCAAACAACCTGCACAGTCAACATGGCAGGCCTATGCGACGCTTAACTGGGACGTTGCTACGGTGCATTAAAATCACCTTGAGAGTGAGGGGGGGGGGGGCGGTACGACGGCATTTCAAGGCAGGGTGGTTCAATATACTTTTTTCACCCTTATTCCAAAAGATCCCTTCGGTTGAGTATCAAATGTCAAAGAACCATCAAATACGCCCAGGCTCAAGTTTCCAAAATCTAACAATTAAAATACGCCTCTACACAGTATATGTTAATAATACATGAACATATCAGAAAAATAACATCTTATCCCTGATGTTGTAGTAAAAAATATTCACTGCAAGAATACCTTGGAAAAAAAAATGGCATGTCATAAGAACAGTGTTTATTTTATTACCCTAGCAATTACTTTCGCTTCCTACAGCGTGTAGTAGTCAGCAGTTTCCCAACCTTGATCAAGCCAAGGCACATCTTTTACATGAGACAAATATCTGGCAGCACACCAATAAAGACAAATGTCACACAAAGTTGGTATGTTTCTGCCTTTCACTATACTACAACAGATCCAACCAATATTTGTAATTAATAAATAGAAATGTTCACACAAATTTTGTGAAATTGAATACTTTTATATATAAAAAACGTATCTCACGGGTTTGCAAGTGTTTGCGCACGACGCAAATGTTGGTTATTCGTCAAGGTTGGTTCAAGTTGCAAAGATGTTCGCCAGACATTCAGAAAGAATTTGTTAGGGTGGTTCTGTTTGTGACCAACAGGTGGCACTGTAGGGCTCCTCCTGCAGTGGCACACCTGTTGGTCATTGTTTCTTTAGTGTGTGGTTAAAAGGACTCCTTGCCCGAACAGTCAGTGTCAGATCATTGTGTGCCTCTGTGCACGTGTCATGTTTTGTTTTCTGTCTTAGGTTTTTGCTACTTTGATTTCTTTTGGTTTTTCTGGACTTTAATCGAGTGTGTTTTTTTGAGTTAGTTTCTCCGGTGTATTCCTTTTTGCAATTTTGTTAAATACACCTTGGTCACTCCACCCTGCCTCCCTGCTTTTTGGGGTCCTCCAACTGCCACCTCGCAAATCGTGACACAATTTTAACAGTCATAAACAGTTTATCTTGTCACAAAGACATTTTGAACATTGTTCATATTTGATGTACATACAAGCCATTTTTCCCCTCAAAGTTATGGGTCTCATTGATGTGGGGACAGTATGTTGATCCCCAAGCCCTCCTACTGATCAATACTGCCCATTTCTATTTTTGGGTCTCATCCCTGTGGAGTCAGCTCACTCACCACCTTGTCCTTGGTTTCCGCTCACATCGACACAGGCCCGTGTGGCAGTGCGCTGCCAGCTGCCAAGTCTGACTCACTTGGTGATGACACATCATGCACAATATCCTCTTTTACAATTTATGCTAGTCAGCACTTGCAGTCATCCATCCATCCATTATCTGAACCGCTTATGCTCACGAGGGTCGCGG